GACAACCTAAGTCCTCTACCATTCTAAAGAGCTGAGTGAAAGTACTACATAACGGCCAGTGGAAGGTGAGTTCCATGACAGTAAATATTCAAGGTCAGCTAGCTGGTGTATGCAGCCAGAAACTGGCAGAAACAGGGAAAGATATATTTTCTAAGGGAGAAAACAGACAGGACTAGGTACAGTGTCAAGACCACAGCCAAGCTAGGAATTCAAATTCCATGAAGGAGAACCAAAGATGAACAAATTCAGTTATCCTCATCCAATATGGCAGAAAACTGGGGCTGTCTATGCCTTGGCTCATCCTGAACTCCCTGAATCTGGGTCAACAAGACTAATTTCAGAGTTTATCTCCTGATGGGGCCAAAACGTTATGTGTATATTGATCTACAGTGGGGAAAAGCTGATAGACTAATGTGAACAAGTGTTCTGGAATTCAACAGACTGAGTATAAATGCCAGCTCAGTCACAAGCTAGTCCTGACCATGGGCATATTTGCACATGTGTACACACTCGTATCTGCATGTATGCTTTAATTATCTAGACAGTTTCTCATGCCACTTCTGCCTTGAACTAGGGATGCTATCTTGCATAACTTATTTTATCTCTCTGGTCTCTATTTCATTATCCTTTCAAGGAGTAGAACTAAATAAGTATAAGAGCCCTCGCACTGCTAGAATATTTGAAGACTATTTTGTTTAAATTTCTTTAAATCTCTATAGCAAAGAAGTGAAGGAGAAACACAAGTTCTAGTCCCAGATCTGCAACAGAAACTGTTTAAACTGCATCCAGGACTTAATCCTTGTGTGCTCAAGTTTTCTCATCTATAAATTGAACAGAAGAAAAGTTACACTTGTTGGGTCATAGTAACAATTAAATGACTATATATGTAAAAGAACTAGGTTATTCCTCAGCTCATAAAAGCTGCTGAATAATTGTTTAAAATAAAGCCTGTAGGCTTTCTTCTTATAGTAATGTAAAGACTTCACAACCCACAGTGGAGTAAAAGACTATTGGCAGTAACTTTAAATGGCCCCAGATTGTTAAGCTTTCCTTATCTAATTTTCTTATCTGATTTTTATAGTTTGATTTGTTGCCTCTAGTACATTCAGCTATTACTTCTTAATACCTTGATGTGTTTACTTATAGTAAGTCCTCTGCTCTCTGCTGTTGTTTTTGTCTGTTCGCACTGGCCTTAGAAGAAGATAATCAAGTTTACAGAGTTGTATATGCTCTAAGAATCAATATGCTCTGATTTGCCTGTACATAAAATGTTAGGCTGTGTGTTGACTTGATAAAAATTATGTTGTCACTACCACTCAGTAACCAAAAAACTTAAAATGGGAATTATGTTTGACATGTTCCTCTCCTCTTGTCCCCATTTACACTCGATGCCTACATTTTGAGCTACCCAGACATCACCTGCTTTCCCTTCTCTTTTCACTCTGATCACCATCAGTATCATCCATTTTCTAACTAATTTGTTAACTCCTCGTTCTATCTCACCCCACCTTGTGAAGAATTATAACAGCCAATGAGACACTGCATTGGTCCTGCTTCACCAAGGAATGAGCCCAATTCCATACACACTCCAGGTTAGCAAGATGCAAACCGTTTCTTTCGGAATTGAACACAACCATCCATCTTTGTTCTTTGTTTTCCTGTTCAGACGTGTGTTGCTAAGAGATCCTGGGCTTGGCCAGACCCACTATATTTTTTGTTAGGAAATCCTGGCTTTGTCTCCCTGAACACTTTTATCAAAATCTCCCCGCTATCCTCAGAGGCTTCATCACTATTCACCACAAAAGGAAGCAACTCTGCTTTTACATATTCCTGCAAGCTCTGTGGAGGCCCATGACTACTAGTGACAGAGAAACACAGTGTAGTAGTTAAAGCGCCAAATTCAGCTTTAGGTGTTCTAATCTTTATACAACAAACGACTCCTTACTGATCACACAATATAGAGGGCAGTTCTGTCACTTTCAAGAAGGCTGTTAATAATATTATGTCTAGAGAAAATCACTGAAGTCAAGAACATCAAAGACAATATCCCACAGATAATATGTAAGTGAGTTGCATCAAACTGGGAGAAGATTTGACAGGGGAGAGTTTAGGCCTTTAAAAGGGTAATGTGATTTTATCCTTGGGGTGCCCTATAAGAAGACTGCCTAAAATAGATGAGGCTCAAAGGGCAATGATTAAAGCATAGTACAACACAAATCCACCTGGGATGGGCATCCCTAAAGCGGAATGCCAGTCACAAAAACATCTCAAGTGGAAGTTAGATAAACCGTGTAAAGTGTCTTCTAAGAAAAGTTCAGGAGTTGAGACTTTAAACACTCTTCTTGTGAAATGTAACATGCATGGCCCTCTCAAGTCTTTTCCAAACAGTGTTCTGTGACCTGAAAATGTTCCTAACAGTGGAATAAGGCTGTGATTTCCAAGTCCCTTTCAGCCAAGACTGTTTGGACTATTCAAGCGATCTACAAAGTGCCTTGAGCTCCATGATGAAAGATGCTATATAAATGAAAAGGGTAATTTGAGTCATAATAAATAACAGTAATGATGATGAATGCCAGTGTCACTGAGAAGAAGCTGGCTTGCCATTTGGGAGCACAGAGCAACCAGCTGTGAGCTGGAAATAATGTGTGTCCCAGCCAAGAGGATCCTCAGTGATTGAGATCACATTAACCTTTAAACCAAAGACCTGGAGCAAGCCCCTGACCTGGAAGTGTGAGCATTTAAAATGGAAGAAACTTTAGTACTTAATCCCTGAGCTTTAATATTGCCTTGGGCTTAGGAGGCCTTTTCCCAGAAAGGTCAACAGGGAGCACGTTGTCCTCCTCTTCCAACAGAGGGGAAAACTGAGAAGGTCAGGGGAAGAGCCAGATTTCCCAATTAGAGTTACAACTCCAAGTGCAGTGCTCTTTCCCTGCTGTATACTCCAGACAATTCCGTGGAAGAATGGGCTTCCGTAAACAGCCAATTTGGATAAGAAAATGTCGAAATGGGATCACGTCCCTCGAGATGCCTCGCTTAGCTGTTTTCCATCCATTTCGATGGGGAAAGCTCACTAGTAAAATCTTTGGCTGCTCAAGGAGGGAAAGGCCACTCCCTGATGTCCTAGATCTGTTCTCCGGAGTTAAAGGAGCACACAGCAGGAATCAGAAGAGTTCTGTGCAATCAGAAAGGACACCGCTGTAGGGTCTTGTGCAGCCTGAGATCCCAGAAGCACTAACAGCCCCCGGAGGCCTGTTTGGTGCTCCATATGACAGATTTGGCATCTTCCAACACTTGTTCAAAGATCAGTCACCAAGAAGGGACCCTGCTCTTTCCCATGACCTTGCCTTCAATTTCCATCAAAAATAATAACATAAAATAAATTAAATTAAAATAGATGGGAATTGCTAAGCTGCAAGAACCTGAAGGACCCGAGCTGTTAAGCTCAGGGGAATGCCTTGCTTATCTTCTGCGCTTCATTTTTTGTATAATTTTATTTTGATGGTCTGCAGCTTTGTATTTGGCATGATTTAAAATATTACATCAGTTAGAATTTATGCTGTTCCTCCTTTTATATTTTACCATCTTTATGTTTTTAACCTTATTTAACTTATCTAATTGTACCTTGTGTTTATCCTCTGAAACTAGTCCAGTCTGAGTTGTTAAACATTCAATTTCTTTTTTTAATTAAAGAAATCAACTATTTCATCTTTCTTAAGTCATTCTTATTTATGTTATCTCTTTGAAGTTTGGGGTTTCTTTTTAGTATTTCTTAATAATTCTCATTCTTTCATCATTTTAATGATGTTCTCTTTGCTCAATCTTCTAAATGTGTGCATGTACTTATTACTGTTGCTTTAAACTATAGAGTTTGTAATTTGTAGCTCTTGAAATTAATTTTTCACTCAATATTTTCCATGTATCCTACTCTTTGTTTTTCCAAAGGTTACAAGGTCCATTTTTACAGTGTAAAGAACCATCTATACCTTGGGGCTCTCACTTGCATCTTACCGCCCAAACTCTGAGAATGCTGACCCTTTCCAACAGACTTCATGGGACAAAATAATCATCTTTCCCATCACACTTTCCAAAGGCATGCAGAGGCTAAATAAGAAGAAAGACTCCAACCTTTTCTTCAACCAATATTCTGTTTAGCTAGAGTGACACACTGATTTTATGCATCTCCAGAATCCAGTAAATTACAACTGAAATTACACATTCTCTGCAACACACATTAAAAAGTAAATATGAAAGTATTGGTCTTAGCTGTGGGAAAAAAAATCACAGTTTGAGTCTTAAATTTGCCACTTAGCCATCATGCGACTCGGGCAGTCATTTGATTACCCTGGACACCAGTTCTCCCCTTCTGAAAAAAAGTGTTGGACTAGATCATATCTTCTGGCACTAATTGCCAGAATAGATATAGCTTTCTATTCAAAGAAACCATGAAACTGACATAAATATGTATGGAGAATATAATATCATTTGTACAAAATATGCAAAAGTATTTGTACCAAGTAGCAAAGTGTCTTGGTTACTTTTTTCTCACTGCTGGGACAAAATATCTGACGCCCAAATTTAAGGAAGGAAAGGTTTATTTCGCTTACAGTTCATGGAAGTTTTAATCCGTACTTGGCGATTGTAAGGCAGAGTGACACATGGCAGAGGGCTGCATCTCAGGACGGCAGCCACAGCTAAGCTACAAGCACACACACCAGGGCGGAATGGGGGAGGAGTGCCCCAAGCACTCTTTTCCTGTCCCTTACATATGCAAACTATCCACTCCCAGGCGGGTGCAGCTCTCACACCCATATTCAACTCTAATAGCCTGCCCCATATCCACAGGAGGCTTTGGGGGGACACACAGACATAAACCATAACACAAAGAAAAACATATTCTTGCAGGTACCAAGGCCTCTCCAACCACACCTCGTGGGTGAAAGAGCAGAGCATTCCAATGGTAATATAAATGCTGGTCTTATCTAGCCCCCTCTATGACATACTTGCCATTGATGACTCCATCTGGATTTAGCATGGGGATGATCTTGAAAATGAAGTTTTCCCTCAAGAGCCTTGCCACAGGGTCATTGCTGATGAGGAACTCCAAGGTGCCCTTCATCACCCAACTGGCATTGCTCTCTCCAGGGTGAGCTCGGGCAGTGATCACGTGATAGGGGCGGTGTCCTGCAGAAAAGGAGACAAAGAAGATGAAACCTAAGTATAATTTCCATTTCCATCAAGATAGTCTCCCAGGGCCAGAATTATACCTGATAGGCACGAAGTTCTAAATAGGTTGATTATTTCTAGTACATATCCGATCTGCATTTATCCATTTTCCATCTGCCTTCATAGTCTACAAGACTCAAGAGAGTATAAAATTAAAGCTCAAGGCTTCTATCAAAAGTATAAGTACTAAGTGCCCTGAAAAAATAGGCAAGAAGCAGATTTTAAACCAATGCACTCTCCAGCGTCTTTGAGCATGATGTTGGATGTCACAGATCTGAGATTGAAGCTTATCTTCATCAATGGCCAGCTGTGAGATTGTAGGCAAAGGATTTAATTTCTCTGGGGTTATTTCTTCATCATAAAATAGGGACAATAGTGATAACCTCAAGTGATTGTTAGAAAAACAGAAGGATGTAGCTATAAAGGGTTTGTTATATCTATTTATTTATTTGCCATTCAGTATATGTTAGCTCCCACATCAGTTATAACCTGTGGGAAAGATGGTCCCTTTCATTCTTTCGGCAAGTACAGAGGTGATGTTGTTAGGCGCTTTCTGATGATAAGATACAGAATCCACTGTTCACCAGATACTTGACAGAAGACTGAAATACGGTACATGCAATCTCTACCTTGGCTCACAATATTTTGTTCTCTTTGTGAAGGGAGCCATCATACGGAAAGCACCGACCTGAGTAGAACTTAGGGAGGAGGCATTGATAACTGGAGGATATGCCCACTTTCCTGCCTCTGTTGGTATAACATACCTGGAGCATCATAGCACTGAGATGCATTCTGAGACCATGTCTGGACTCAGGTAGAAAAAGTATTTTGATTGAGTAATGATGTCTGTCCCTCATACACTCAGGAAAGAAGCAGAGAGAAGGGTGGTGCCATAACAGGAATGCACCATGTCTACTATCACCCCTTGTCCAATTCTTTGTTTGAAACTGACTCTCTTTCCCTTCTGGGTCCTCATCCAGCTCTTTACTGCTCCTAATCTTGCTCTCATGACACTTACTAAGCATGTGCCACATATAAGTATTGCAGCCCCTAACACAACTGAAAAGTCCGTAAGTAATCATTTTTCCAAAAAGTTCAGATTTTTTACTTAAATTTGTCTTTTCTACTCTGAAAAAAATAAATTTATGAGGACACAAACTGTGTATCAAATTGTATACAAAGAAAAATAGAGTAACTCCGGATAAGAGAGCAAAAGCAGAGATAATAGTAGATAGAAATAATGAACATTTATATTTCTGAATTATATTAAGATCATCACCAAGATCAAAAGAAAAATTCTATCTGTCTCTCCCACATTTCTATTGATGGTCATTAATCCACTGATGTCTAGATTTAAGGGACATGGGTCAATGCAGTTTTCTGACTATGGCTGGAGTAGTTTGCTTCAACTCTTTGTAGGTCATCTGTATACCAGAGATAATATTCAGTTGTGTTTTTCTCAGGCAGGTGTCTTGAACATATTCCAGGAATTGCAGGAGGCACCGGATAGCAAAAGTTGAATAAATTATCGTCCTTGTTCTCTAAGAGGCCATAGAATTTGTCAGAAATGACATAGATGCAAACAAATAAGGACAAGTGAGTTAAGGGAGGTGTACATAGAGCACCCAAAATAGACCTGACAGAGAACGATAAGGACATTTCCAGAGCTGTGATGGCATTCTGGGCCTTGCAGAGTATGTACCATCTCACCAGATAGAGCAGATGAAATGGATTATTTAAGCAGAGAAAAAGACACATGCAAAAAATACAAGGGCAAGAGAATCAATGCACTCAAAAAAGATAAGTTATGTGTGACTGAAGCAAAGGGTTTGAGATGGTAGAACAGGAATTTACAAAAATAGGCTGGTGTCAAACTGGTAAGACCCCTCTCCTTCTATATTTTGTTTAGGGATTTAGATATTTCCTATAATTCAGATGTCCTCAACAATGGAGTCAGCATATCACTAGTATCCTGTGATCAGTAGTGGAATCCTTTTCAGAATCATCAATGACCAATGAAAATGCAAAGGTTGGCTTACATTTTACAAGGCACAAACTGCTGGCTGTCTGCCCATCACTCTGTCTCTCCTTCAAACTACCAGATCCTTGAATTGGGTGGGGGGATTTGCTCAGATTAAAGTACTCAGCCTCACTGAACCTCTTGCAAATAGACATGGCCAAATGAAACAGTTATGGACAATAAGAGGTAAATGGTAAACAAGGTGCTTCTCTCTGTACAGCTTATTAAAAGGGATGGTTTCACCTTACAACACCTACTTGGTTTCAATTTTTGTCCATTTCCTTTATTTCTTTTGGGGCTGGGGAGATAGCTCAGTAGCACAGAGCCTGCCTGGCAAGCACAAGGTCCTGAGTTCAATTTCCAGTACCAAAAAAAAAAAAATTACAATCCGTTATTTATTTTTCCTGTCTTGCTTGTAGATGTGATATCTTCAGGTGAGGGAGTCAATGTACAAGTAGAAATCTTACTATGCTAAGCATGGTGACCCTAAAGGTAGAAAGAGTCAGGATTCTTGACAAATTTCTTAAGCAATTACTCAGACCTTTACTGGCTTCTACAATACTTCTGGAGATTTGAATACAATTAGTTGATATATTACTAAGCCACAGTAATCATGTTTCTGCTATATGTTATAAAACTCTGGCATATGAAGAAAAGGTCAGGTTTAAAATCATCTCTACAGTTACACTATGTTGCATTACATGCAACTGGATGCACCTTCTGGATTGCTGAGGAAACCATGAAACAGTGAGGTGAAAGGGAATGATATTTGCCATGGATTTTGCAGGAAAGGATAGCTGAGGACCACGCTCTAAGCCAAGGTGAGTTGATAAAGGTTTTCATCTGGAAAAAGACAAGCCAATGATTGTGCTGTAGAGAAATAATTCTGACATTATTACAGATAATACATTTTCCTAATCGGAGACAGCTTGGCACAGCAATTCAAGAATAACTTTTACAGTGACATTTTCAGGGTTCAAGCTCCAGCCTCACTATTTTTCCATCATATATGAGTTATGTAGGTTTCTGAAGAAATTAAGCATTGAATTTTCTTAATAGGTGCAAGGTGATGTAACAGAATATCACAGACTAGGTGGCTTAGAAGAAACATACTTTTTATAGTCTGGAGACTGGGAAATTCATGATCAAGGTACTGACAGATTTGGTGTTTAGTGAGAGCCTTCTTCTTTTAGTGAGAGCCAGTTACCTGTGTCTGCACATGGCTCAGCACACAAGGAAGGTCATCAAGGTCTCTTATATGGGCACTAATCTCACTCATGAGGACTCTACCTTAATGACCTAGTTACTTCCAAAAGGTTCCACCTCCTAATACCATCAGGTTAGAGTTTAAATTTCAACACAGAATTTTAGAGGAGTATAAATATTAACTACATAAAAGATCAGGTGTTCTTCATGTAAGATTAATGATTCACCAACTGGAAGTTTGCAAGTATGCATAATGGGGTGGGACAGATACACAGTCCATTAACGGAGCAGAAGTGAAATCCCCAGAGGTCAGGTTTCCTGCTGTGTCCTTTGCTCACAGTCATTTTCACTCCTTCCAAAGCACGCTATTGTGGCATCTAATAAAAGCTTGTTGAGAAATAAAGAGGCTTGATGAATTTGTACCCAATCAGTAACCCATTTTCAGTTCTATAATTCCATATCGCTCTGTTTGTGCTTTTTGAACTATGCACATTTGCAACATACTGGACAACAATAGTTAAGCACTTCTGGCCCAGTAAGGAGAAATAAACAACAGCTTATGCTCTTGCAAATTTTTGACACCCAACTGATCGCTGTTATTGTGTGGTCCACTTGGCTTCTGTTGCCTTATATACCCATGACAATGCAAGGCATTAGTCAGTAAGCCAAATGCAAGCTCTTACAGAGACATCAACAATGTGTTTCTTTCCTTTGGAGAGTCAGTTTGATATTATGCTGTATTGTACCACACTACAAGACCAGCAAGCTGTCTTAGCATACTGAAAAGACAAGTGGGAAAAACGGTGAGTTCTAATGAAGACATAAGCAGCGTTCCTGCCCTTTCTGTTGGTTTTCTTCTTTTTCCCTCGGTGACTTAACACAATTTTGTGGTCATATTGGTGAAATGAACTTATGGGACCATTCAGTTATTGTAGCAAATAACACTCCAGAGAACTTGTAATAGCGAACAGCTGAAAACAGTGTGCGGCACACATACCATGTGGCTTTTCTTTTTGTAATTGACAGTTTCAGTCTTATTAACATATCTCTACCTAGGGTTAAGTAAATACTGCCGGGTACCTGCATTTAGATTATTTCTCTGCAATTCAAAAAAACCTATTCCAGAGACCACCACAAGCTATGAGAGAGTTAAGATATGACTATATTCTAAATACTAAAATAAAATTGAATATATGTCATTGGTAATGACATCTATAAAGAGAAATTAGAAACATGCAGGGAATTCAATAACGCCTAAGAGATACGAAGCTATGGGCCAGTGAAAATTTGAGCAAAATCTGAAGACGTGTGTGATGATATATGTGTGTACCCATTATGTCAACATCCATTCATTTATTCCTCCTTTCTTTCAACACTTTAGATTGAATTGCTGCTGCATCTCTGCAGAATAGTGAAGATTGCAAAAGAAATAATGATTTTCTCCCTCCAAGTACTAATAATTGTCTGGTGAGAAAGACAGGCACATGAATAATTACCGCCCAATGTGATCAGAGACGTTTGCCAAGCCATTTTCAAATCACAGTGGAATACTCATTATGGAATTACTTATATAATAATACACACCTGGAAATGACTTGCATGTGCACCCACAGAAAGCTAGCTAAGGAAATGACACATAAAACAGAATACTATTCAGCTGTTCAAAATGACACATACACCTCTTACTGTTGACACCAGAGGATGTATCTGTGACAAAATAGTGAACACTCAA